TCTGACACACCCCCATAGCCAAAGTGGGGTGTAATCAGCAGAGGAAGCAAAACAGAACAAGCTCAGGGTGGATCACAATGTCACCACACAGTCTGAGCACAAGTTCAAGCAGCAGTAGTATAAAGTTCACAGTTATAAGCAAAGCTAGAGGTAGTCACAACGGGCAAGTGAGGAGGAGGAGAGAGACTGAGAGGAGAGGAGATAGGAGGCGACGGATGAAGCTGCAGACACACGGGCAACACGAGGCAGATTGGCACAGCGGCTACCGGACGAAGCCCCCGGACTACAGGAGTAACTGGCCCCGCGGCTAAAGTAGCGGCAGACGAGCAACGGACCCACGGGCGGCTGGCACAGCTGGCTACGACTGGGCTACCGGACGAAGTCCCCGGACTACAGGTGCTGCTAGCGACACATCGGCATCCTCCATTCAGCTTCCCCAGACTGTCCTACTCCCCTTGGCACACACCCACTGCTACACTGCTAGCTCTCCTCCCCTTCCCCCCCCCTTAGTATCACTCCACCGGCTCCACCACAATCACCCCCCCCTCAGCGGCAGCTGCAGCACAAGGAGACGGAGGAGGAGGAGGAGCAGGGAGTGGTACTGAGGAGGGTCACCCCCATACCCCTCACCCCCAAACCCTAAAGTAGGAGAATGGGGAGTAGGAGGGGTAGGGCGGTAGTAGAGGGACTGGGAACAGCGGGGAGGGCAGGGAAGGTAGGAAACGGGCCCACCACGGGCCTGGTAGGGACGTCCGAGCCGCGCGCATGCGGCCCGAGCCGCGCGCGGGTCGGGCGTCTTCCGTACGGGCCGCGCGACGGCCTGGCGCAGCCCATACGGGCCGCGCGCGGGCCTGGCGCAGCCCGTACGGGCCGCGCGCGAGCCTGGCGCAGCCCGTACGGGCAGCGCGTGGGTCTGGCGCAGCCCGTACGGGCCGCGCGCTGCCTGTACGGGCCGCACAGAGGCCACGACGGGCGACGGGGGGCGACGCGGAGGTCCCCGTCGCCCGTCACAGCGCCTCCCGGGAGCGGCGCGCGGCGTGACGGGGCAGAAACCCGCCGCGCGCCGCCGCGCGCCTCGGGGCGCACGGCGGGCAGAAAACCGCCGCGCGCCTCGGGGCGCACGGCGGTAAGGGAAAGTAGTAGTTGCAGCGGAAGGAACGTGGTTAGGCACACAGGCCAGGAGCGTACTGCTCTGATCACCATATGAAGATAGGTAGGTAATAATAGTAGCCATAGCTAGGACTTACCTAGCTAGGCAAGAAGAAGTTAGGCAAAAAAGGGGTTGTACTAGCAAGCAATGGGATACAAATATGAAACCCTAAGGGGTTATACTCGCTATAGAGTACCCCACTGCAGGCTAGATAACAAATATGACATTCTGACAAAGGGCAGCGCGCGGCGAGCAGGTCAGCGCGCGGTGAGCAGGGCAGCGAGCGGCGAGCAGGGCAGCGCGCGGGGAGCAGGGCAGTACGGGCAGCAGCGCAGCACGCGCGGCAGCAGGGCACAGCGCAGCGGGGCAGCGCGGGGCAGGGCAACGCGATAGCGCTGGGCAGGGCAGGGCAGCAGCGCGACGTCGTAATGGGCAAGGCAGGGCGCGCGCGTGGCGAGCAGGGCAGCGCACGACGGGAGCAGCTCCTGGGGCAGTACGTACAGTTGGTGGGCCTTAACGAAGCGGTCCTACAGAGGGACCTGCTCTGATACCATGTCAGAATACTAACGCAGGAATGATGAGATTAGGCAGCATGAGAAGTACAAGTAGGGAAACCCTAAAAGTGTTGTACTATAAAACAGCTACCCACTACAGCCTACTGATACAGAAACACTATATGACAAGCGCGTATGGCGCGACGGGCAGCGCGAAGGGCAAAGCACAGGGCTGCGCAAAGGGCATGCGCGGGGCAGCGCGAATGGCACGCGAAGGGAAACGCATGGGGCAGAGCCAGCGAGGGCCGGTGTTGTTGGAATGGCTGGACATGATTATGCCCAGATTTGCAAACAAGAACTCGCAAACGCAGAAGCCCTCCTCCAAACTTCCGAGCACATCAGAGCAAGTTCATGTCGACGGAACTCAAATGATTTTTGCAGGCCGACGGTTGAAAGCAAAAAGTATATTCAAAAGAAAAGAATGCTATCACGGTGTAGCGACAGAGACGTAATTTCCATCTGTGCAATCCTCAAGAGGATGTGAGGGCGTCCCACGAGATTGTTAGCCAATGAATCACTCTTCAGACTGGTGGGTCACGGTTCAAAGAAGTGGAACAGACAAACCGCTCTAAAAGAGTTTGAACCGTTCTCCACCGCAGAATCTGAGCCAAAAAGGAACTGGTGGGGCACGCCCTGAGAAAAAATCTGCTCATACATAATGCCATCCTTGCACATCAAGCTTTCATTCCAGTCACAAAGCTCATATTCTTGGAGTCAGTTTTCCGTCGACTGTCATCATGTCTTACTGTGAGTGTCATTCACGTCCTTCGTTCAGCGGATCGCTTTGCTATTTGTTCTCCCCTTTATAATAGCTCTGACTTGTTCCGCTGAATTCGTGCTTGCATCCTTCCCAGACGGCGGAACGGACCCCAGCCCGTATGACTATCCTCTCCCAGGTTCGTCGCTATCTCGTTCCGCCCATTACCGCTCGGTAAATTTCACCCTGGTTTTCGCCTTTCTCGCCAAGCATTCGGTTTACGTACTGATTCGTTGTACCGTTTTCAGATGGCCCCACACCACGTGGGGATGTGGTCGTGACTGGTCTTACTGGCGGATACGACAGTGAGAAGAAAGGCAAGGGCCGCTTTTTTAAGGGCAGGTTCAAGGGTGGCTTTCGTGGCAAGCACAAAAGACACTTCGGAGGACACAAGCGTAAGGGCTTTCGTGGCAAGCATAAGGGTGTCTTCAGGCGCGGCCGTAAGCACAAATAGAAGGCTTTCATGTTCATGAGTGTTGATATGCATCTAACCCATCTGTATCTGATTTTGCGCACGAGAATGTGCTGCTTTAGTAATGTGCTGAAATAATCAGCATTGTACGCATTCGCCATTCCCAGTTGCCATTGTCTGGAGTTCTTGTTATCTTGGACCTTTCGCCCATGTTTTGTTTATTCCACGCAAAGTCTGTTCTCTTACCGGTATAACTAGCGAACTGGAAAGACTATAAGAAGTTCTCTTATTACTAATAGGGGACTAGGATCGAAAGAAATTCCAGCCCGTGGAGTGGAAATTGCTGTGAGCACCAAAGTATGAATCACAGCTTACGTAGTGTGAAAGGAGCATGATGCTGTTCGTTTAAAGCCCGAGTACAGTTCAAGATAGAAGAACTCAAAATCTCCAAAAATAGAGATCGTTACCTTTCTTGTTTTGAAAGAAAGATGGCGGCGATCCTGGGAGATCTTTATGTGAAAACGAATCTCAGCTGACTTGTGTCCCTAAAACCAAATCTGAAGTGATAATTGTTGAGCTGGATTCATTCCAACAACAATCTTCCCCTCGTCGCTTGCGCTTCCTCTGACCCATTCGTTCCCAGTACGGTAACTAATTGTAGTAAAAACCTATCTCGTGTTTCGTGCCATGCCATGCCATCCATATTATATCCCAGTTTACTTAGTGGCATCCACGTTCACTTCACAGCCCCTCCCAGCACAGCTTTAATCGCTCGCACCAGCATCTCAATTTCGAAGGGTTTAGTAGCATACCCATCCATACCCGCATCAAAGCACTGCTCCTTGTACCAGTGTAACATCATCCTTTTACAGAGATCCACACAAGTGATCAGGTGAGTCAATCAGTTAGTCAATCTCATTTGCCCCCTTTTTAGTTAGTCGCTCTCCATCCTAACTTCGTGCAATTGTACCAATCCCCCATTTCGTGCCATCCACGTTCACAGCCCCTTTACCACGGCCTTAATTGCTCGCCCCAGCAACTCAATAATGCAGAAGGGCTTCGCTCAATGTTGACAGGTATACCCATCCATGCCCGCTTCAAAGCACTGCTCCTTGTACCCGGCCATTGCATTCCCTCTCCCCATCCCCCATCTTTGCACTTGTGCTGCCTGCCCACCACCCATGTCAATCAGCCGTCTATTTAGTGCCATCCACATTCACCGCTCCTCCCAGCACGGCTTTAATCGCTCGCACCAGCATCTCGATTTTGAAGGGTTTAGTAGCATACCCATCCATACCCGCTTCAAAGCACTGCTCCTTGTACCCAGCCATTGCGTGTGCCGTCAACCCCACTATGCCTATCCTTCTTCCCTCTCCCCCTCCCCCTCCTCCCGCCCCTCCTCCCTCTCCCCCTGACCCTCCCCCTTCTTTCCCGTCCTTCTGCCCGTGCTGCTGCCCCTTGTGGTGCTGCCGTGCTGCTTTGCTGCCCGAGAGTCGCCTCCTGGAAGTTTCCAGCTGGCGGATGCGGCGAGTGGCCTCCAGCCCATCCATCACCGGCATCTGAAAGGAAATGCAAGTTGGTAAAGGAAGAGGAAAGGATTGTTTTTTAGATCGACTACTATTATTCATTGACTCAAGCATGCGGCGAGTGGCCTCCAGCCCATCCATCACCGGCATCTGAAAGGAAATGCAAGTTGGTAAAGGAGGAGGAAAGGATTGTTTTTTAGATCGATTAATATCATTTATCGGATCAAGAATGCGACAAGTAATCTCCATCCCATCAATGACCGGCAAATGGATTTGGGTTTGGACAGAAATGAAGAGGGGGGGAAGGTTGGGGGTGTAAAGTGTGCTTTGAGACATTTCAGGCTTCCAGTCTATATATTCCGGGCATCTGATCTGAAGGACTGGGAATGGTGGTGGACATGGAGACATGGACAAGGATGGTGGTGGCGGCGGGTGGCGGCGGGTGGCGGCAGGGGTGACCGCAGGGGTGGCGGCAGGGGTGGCGGCAGGGGTGGCCAAGTCGATAACTCCACTGCTGGTGGTGGCGGCGGGTGGACCAGGAATGATGGTGGGCATCGAGACAGGGACAATGATGGTGGTGGTGGCGGCAGGGGTGGCGAAGTCAATAACTCCACTGCTGCCGACGATAGCGAAAACTATGCCGACAAACAAAACACACCTGAATGTCCATGAGAATGAGGTCGAACGACGCCGCCCGCTCCTCCATGGCGGTGAGAGCGAGCTGCCCGTTGCCCACCACCTCGACGCGAGCGCCCTGCTTGGAGAGGGCGTGTGTGGCCACACGCTGGTTCACCAGGTTGTCCTCTGCTAGCAATATGCGCACCCCTGCCAGCATGGCCACTAGAGGCCCGCTCTTGTTCCGCGCTGCTACTGCTCCTGCTGCTGCTGCTCCTGCTGGTCCCACTGCCACTGCTCCTGCTCCAGTGCTGCTCACTGCCTGCTGCGGCGGCGGCGGCTGCGGCTGCTGCTGCTCATGCTGTCCCTCGTGATGGTGATGGTGATGGTGATGGTGATGGTGGCGATGGTGGTGGTGATGCTTCTTGTGCTGCCTCTCCCCTCCCTCCTGCTCTAAGCTGCGCCTATCATCGCCACCAGAGCCAGCAGCAGCAGCACTGCCATCCCCACTGCCCTGCCCAAGCCCAGTCGGAGACAGGTTTGAGCTGCTGCGGCTGCTCCTGCTGCTCCTACTGCCGCCCGCATTCGCACTCACAGCACCGCTCACAGAGCCTGTCCGAGGCTCGTCAAGGCTGCTCCTGCTGCTCTTACTGCCCCCAGGATTTCCACTCACAGCGGCAGCGCTCATAGAGCTTTTCTGAGGCGCCTCAAAGCTGCTTCTGCTGCTGCTGAAGCTGCCGCTGCTGCTGATCCCTTGCCCACTCTTACCCCCCCTGCTGATAGGCCTGCTCATAGCAACGGCAGCTGGGGAGTCCTTCTCAGACGCAGCCGGGGTGGTGGGGGACTTTTGAGCGCGGTTGAAAGCGGTGCTGCTGGCAGGCGTGGTAGGAGTGACCCCCTCAACAGGAGTGTTGGCAGCGGTGGTGGTGGGGGTGGTGCCATCAGCAGGGGTGAGTGCAGTGGGAGTGGTGGAGGTGGAGGAAGTAGCAAACGAGTGAAAGAAAGAGGTAGAGCCATCGGCAGTGGTGGGGGTCCAAGGGTCAGAGCCTGAGGCAAAGGTACGAGAGGAGAGATGAGAGTCAACAGTGCATGAGGATTCGAGAGTGTATGATGGTTCGAGGGCACGAGAGGAGCCCACCCAGGGGTTACTGAAACTCGCCGTCCCGCTGCCGCCGCTGCTGCTGCTGGTGCTGCCGCTGATCCTCCTGCTCCTCCCACCCGCTTTTCCTCCCTTGTCCTGCCGATATGCCTCTTCCATGGACCCCGATAAGGGGCCTGATGATAGGGAGCCTGATAGGGGCCCTGACCCATCCTCCACTTCCATTCTGTTAGATGCAGCTGCGGCTGTAGCAGCTGTGGCAACAGCAGTGGTGCCAGCATCAGCTGAAGCAGCAGCAGCGCTGCCAGAAGCAGCAGCAGCAGCAGACATAGAAGCTGGAGGCAGGGTGGTTGCAGAGCCAGAGCCAGAAGCGGACTCAGAATGTGCGGGTTCCGAAGCACCAGAGGCAAAGGGAGGGGAGGAGAGGCAGGTCAGGGAGACAAGGGGCAGTGCAAGAGGCGATGGGAGGGCCGGTCGGGGTAGAGTGTGGTGGGGTGGAGGGTGGGAGAGGAGGGCGGGTGGGAGAGAGGGGAACAGATGGGGTGTGTAGTTGGGATCCATCGGCGAGAGTGGGATGTTCCATGGACTGGAATCTGCCTCTGATGCCTGCTGCTCCTCTTGCTGCTTCTCCTGCCCCTGCTGCCCCTGCTGCTGCTGCTGCTGCTGCTGCTGCCCCTGCTGCTGCTGCTGCTGCTGCTGCTGCTGCTGCTGCCCCTGCTGTTGCTGCTGCCCCTGCTGCTGTCCCTGCTGCTGCCCCTGTTGCTGCCCAAGCTGCGTCAGTGCTCTCGCCACAGCATCACGCCCTGCTCCTTCCTTCGCCTCCCTCCTTTCCATATCCACCCCATGCCCACCCACTTCCCTTTCCCCTTCCCCTTCCTCCGTTCCTTCCAAAATCGCTCCCCCTTCCCTTTCCCCTGCCTCTTCTCCTTCCTCCCTCTCCTCCAAAATTCCGTCCCCCTCCCTCTCCCTCTGTGACCCTTCCCCCTCCCGCTCCCCTTCTCTCACCCGGCTCAGCTTCCTGGAAAGTACCGCACCAGAAGCCGACCGGCTACCGAAGCTCATGCCGCCCAGCACCGGACCTGGAACCAACACCGAGGCAGACCTGCTCCCGTAGCTCAGCCCGGGCCTGCTCTCCGAGCCTGTCTGGAAACCTGCGCCTGAACCAGACATATGGCTACCGGCTACTCGACCCGTCTCCGAGCCTGGTGCAGGCCCGGGACCTACAGATTCAGGTCCGGGCGGAATCGCAGGTTCGGGCCGGACCGGGCTCCTATCCCGAACCTTTCTGGGGATACCGAGGAGTTGGGATGGGTCAGAGCGTGTGCGGATAAGAGCAGACTGTGGGTGGGGGGGAAGGCCAGAGGAGAGGGAGGGAACAGCAGCAGAGGTGTAGGAGTGGGAGGGCGAGGTGCGTAGGCTCTTGCTGCTGAAGAAGAAATGAGGGTTGGAGGCAGCAGAGGGGACGGTGGTGGAGGAGGGAGGGTGGGACGAGAGAAAGTGAAACTGTGGCTGCTGTTGCTGCAGATGCCGCTTCTTTACCCCGGGCACTGCAGCAGCTGGATCTCTCCCCATGGCCGATGTGGCACTAGCTGCAACATTAGCACCAGCGCTAGTGGCAACACTGACACCTGCACTAGCACCGGACCCTGTTAGGGCTAGCTTCCCACCTGAACCAGCACCTGAGAATCCACCTGACGCAGCACCGCCGCCAGCAGCAGCTGCAGCTGCAGCAGCCGCAGCCGCAGAGGTGAAGGAGCGAGAGGTGTGGGAGGCAGGGTGGGGTAGCGAGGTGGCCGTGAGGAGAGGGCGCTGACGCTTGTGGGGCGGGTTGAGGGCAGCAGAGACAGAGGATTGGAGTGCCTGTGTGTGGGGAAAGGGTGGGAGAGAAGAGAGAGGGAGGAGGGGTGGGGAGAAGACAAAAGGGAGCAAGGAGGTGGCTGTGAGGAGAGCGCGTTGGCGCTTGTGGGGCGGGTTGAGAGGGCAGCAGAGACAGAGGATTGGAGTGCCTGTGTTGGGAGGGAGAAGGGAAGAAAGGTGGGGAAGAGGAAGGGGCAGAGGGAGGGGGAGCAGGAGGCAAATTTGGCTGTGAGGAGAGGGCACTTGAGCTTGTGGGGCAGGTTGAGGGCAGCAGAGGAAGAGGACTGGCGTGCCTGTGGTGGAGGGAACAAGAGGGATTAGGGGGAGGTGGCTGAGAGGAGTGGGGGCTGGCGTTTGTAGGTAGGTCGTTGTTGGCAGGCTGTTGGCAGCAGACACAGTGTCGATTCAAGTATGTGTATGGGGAGGAGCAGTGGAGGGGAACTGGGGGGCATATGAGGAGGGGGAGCATGGTAGTGAGGAGCGTGAGAGCAGCTTTTGAGTCGACTCAAAAGCAGATGAGGAGGGGGAGCATGGTAGTGAGGAGCGTGAGAGCAGCTTTTGAGTCGACTCAAAAGCAGATGAGGAGGGGGAGCATGGTAGCGAGGAGCGTGAGAGCAGCTTTTGAGTCGACTCAAAAGCAGATGAGGAGGGGGAGCATGGTATTGAGGAGCGTGAGAGCAGCTTTTGAGTCGACTCAAAAGCAGATGAGGAGGGGGAGCATGGTAGTGAGGAGTAGGGATGAGCAAAATCCCGAACGCCTGTTCGGTTCGCCTCGAACATGTTCGAGGCGAACCGAACAGGCATTTTTTTTTGCCTAAATTGTTCGGGCCGAACATGTTCGGTGTTCGGCCGAACATGTTCGACGTTCGCCTCCGAATTTTGGCTCTCCAAGCCGAACACGAACATGTTCGTGTTCGACTTGGGGGCCACGCGAACACCAAAAATGTTCGCGTCAAAATTGGCCGCGACCAGATTTAGGTCGCGGCCAATTTGTGTTTGAGCTCATTTCGTGAGCTCAAACTCAGAAGTCGTTTTCGCCTTAGCGCTCCCTCACACAGCCGCCCTAGCCTCCTTGTTCTAGGTGCAAGCAAGTGCACGCTGATACTTGCAGTGTAAACGGACATTAGATAGATAGATCTATGCATAGGGTTTAACGTAGTGTAGGGAGTTTAGGGTTCCAATTGAGGTTCAGCGAGCATCTCCGCAAAGGGCTCAAGTAGGGCGTATCCTACGCCGTAGGATTCGGATCGGGCATTAGGAACGTGCGGAACCATCCAACGCTACCGTTGCAGGAAGGGTGTTTTAGGGTTTAGGGTCGAGGGCGGAGTTATGGCTTCCAGGGCTGGTGGATCCATAGGCCGAGGTGCAGGCAGGGCTCAGGGCAACGCACCGGGATCTCCACCACGACCTATGCAGGGGCGAGTAGGGGATGGACCGGGAGGAGCCGGCGCGATCTTCGTTGGGGGGTTGCTTACCGTACCGGCGCCGACCTCTCGTCGCTCTTTCCGTTACGTCGGCCCTCGACCCCCTCCTTCGGGGCAGACGCCGACGCAGCCGGAGAGCGGCAGCGAGGAGGAGGATGAGGAGGAGGATGGTGAGGGCGAGAAGGAGGAGGACACTGAGGGGAGCGGGGATGACAGCGAGGCGGCGTGGGACCCAGAGACGCATGGCGATGGGGAGGGGGGAGATGATGATGATGAAGACCACGAGATGGATGGGTTGGAGCCAGAGGGGCGGGAGGAGGAGGTGGGAGAGGGTGGTGGAAGGGCGGCGACAGAGGCGGGATCACAGCATGTGCGTGAAGGGGGAGGGAGCGTGGGGGTTAAGGTGGGGGGGAGAAAGGCCGTGACCATTAGGGAGCCGAGGCAGAGGAAGAAGGCCAACAAGTTGAGGGAGCGGGCGTTTCCCTGAACGTTCACTGGGGAGCCCTTGGGCGAGGGTGTGATCGCTCCCGAGTTCCTAGACGAGGACAGAGAGTCCGAGAGTAGTAAGGGGACTGGCAAGGGTAATAGGAAGCCGGGGTGGCAAGTAATGATGTTCGGACCGTTAGGGGCAGACGATAAGCGTCAGTGCAAGATTTGCTATGACAGGATTTCGTGGAAGCAATCCACAACAACCCCCGGCGAGCGGCACTTTGCGAGCTTCCACACTGCGCACATGCATGTGTGGCATCACCGTTACCACACCCCGTCCGTTCACTTGCCAGGGGAGACGTTTCCACGTGGGGGCTACAAGGGAGTGCCGGATGGCTTCGTCTATCAGTGGCCACATGCCAAGACTTGGCCGCAGCTCGCCAAGGGGAAAGGGATGGCGACTGGTGGAGGTCATGGGTCAAGCGGGATGGAGCGGTGGATGACAACCAAACTGACCTCGGTGCAGCTACGGCAGGCGATCACGAAGCTGATGGTCACCTGCGACCTCCCCTTCCGCATCGTCGAGGCCGAGGCTGTAAGTGCCCCATCCCATCCCATGCATGATTGGGCAAGTATGTGGTTAGTGGACGGGTCTGTCCCTTTGTGTTTTGAATGTTTGCGTGTGGCCCAGTGCAGTGCTATATTATTTTCATCCCATCCCCCTGACGTTTACTCCCCTCTCCCCCCTTGTCTCTACTCCTCTCCAGTTTCATGAGCTACTCATCCTGCTAAACCGCAACTGCGCGCAGAAGAACTTCATCCCCTCGCGCTGGACGGTTTCCCGCGATACAGTGGTCTATGCGGCTGCCGCTCTTCAGTCAGCCATTGCGGAGATGCTGGCGAAGGAGGGGGATCTGGGGTGCAGGGTGTCGTTCACCATCGACATGTGGACGTCGCCCAACAACAGGGCGTGGCTAGTGGTAACGGGTCACTGGATCGACGAGAATTACCAGCTGCGCACAATGGTGTTTGAATTCCGCGAGATTCACGGGCGTCACACGGGCAAGCAGATGGCGAGGGTGGTTGAGGAGACTGTGGTGCAGTGGGGGTTGGAGACGCGTTGTCTTGGGTTCACCTCAGACAACGCCTCCAGCAACACTGCCGCTTTCAGGTGGATGTCGGAGGAGGGTGGTGGCCAGTGCTTCTTCAACTCGCGCATGCACTTCCGGTACGAAAGGGAGTGTGCGTGGGATGTGCGATGAGGGAGTCTGGGTGCGTCGTTCCTGTGATGTGAACATGTTGAGGTTGTGGTACAGGCGGGTGGGCCTATGCGGCTTGAGAGTGGTAGTGTTTCGCGGATCTATGCCAATGTGTACTCACACTTCCCTTTCTCTCCGCCATTAATGTTTTGTGATGTGCGCAGATGCCTGGCACACGTGATCAACCTTGCAGTGAAGGCAGCACTCGCTGTGACCGCCATCCGCAAGTTGTTGAAGATTCTGAGAGAGATGGCGTCGTGGATAGGCTTCTCGCCGCAGCGCTCAGGGAAGTTCTTGGGCCTTCAGCGGACCCTGAACGCGCAGGGCAACCCCGCCAGACCGAAGCCGGCATTGAAGCTGGTGCAGGACAGTCCCACACGCTGGGGGTCGACCCACGACATGGTCGAGCGAGCTGGGGTTCTGCAGGAACCCATCTCTGTCTTCTTTGCCCAGACACAGGTGTGTGTGTGTGTGCCAGGTGTTGTGTATGCGGTTTTATGTGTTGGTATGTCGGTCGGGGTGTTTTCTTCTGGGACTTGCACCACTGTTGGCCATGCTTGACTAAACTTATCGGACCTCCAACAACCTCAACCACCCCACTTTCCACCCTAACACCCGCCCACCCATACGTTCTACCCGACAGGGCGTGTCGAAGGCTGACAAGGCGAAGATGGACACCTTGCGCCTTACGGACGCAGACTAGGAGACTCTGCATTCTGTCAAGACCTTCCTCAGCCCATTCGCCAAAGTCTCCAAGGCCGCGGAGGGAGCGGCGTACCCTACAGTGGCGATGGTCCTGCCGTACTACAACGGCCTGATCGACGCTATGGAGTCGCGCCTTGCCAAGGGGCCATCGGCTTCGCTGAAGCCGATGATTGAGGCGGCGCTGGGTCTCTTGAAGAAGTATGAACTGATGTCAAGCAACGAGTTGTGGATCGCCACCTTCCTGGACCCTTCCATGAAGGCGGCGTGGTTCGACGACGCGCACTGGGAGACGGTGCATCCCGATACCGACCGGAGGGCGAGGCCTCGTCCCTCGTCAGGCGAGGTGATCCAGCTGGTCCGCGAATGCGTGGCCGAGTACCAGGCCCGGGCTGCAGCGATTGCCCCTCGGCCGACCCCACTTGCCCCAGTGACGGAGGAGGAGGAGGGAGACGCGGCGGATGACGACGAAGACGCCGAGTTTCTCCCTAGTCGCCGACGCCTTGCGGCGCGTCTTTCGGCGAGCCAAGAGGCGGGGAGGGGTGGGATGGTGCAGGATGACGAGGTTGGCAGGTACTTAGGGTACATTCCGCTGTGGACACATGTCCCAATTGATGTGTCCCAATCGAGTGTACCGCTTCGAACCGAACTAAACCAGAGACGCGAAAATTTCGAAACTAGGGTGCAATTCGGTGTAATACGATGCAGTGCGGTAGAAACGATTGGGACACATCGATTGGGACGTGTGTCCACAGCGGAATGTACCCTTATCTGAGAGGGTGCGGTGCGACGTGTCAGCGTTGGAGTATTGGCGCAGCGCCACCAACATGCAGACGCTGAGGCGCATGGCCCGGGATTATCTTGCCATCCCTGCCACGTCCGCGTCGAGCGAGCGCATGTTCTCCCTCGGCCGCAACCTCCTATCCTGGAAGCGGCACCGCCTAGCCTCTCAGAGGACGCGAGCTTCCATGATTCTCAGATCATGGTACACCTCACACCCTGGACAGAGGATAGGCGAGGGCCGCCGTGCAAAAGGCGAGGCACCACCAGAGTTCGCCATTGAAGGCGAGGGGGAGGAGGAGGACGACGAGTGGGAGGAGGGGGAATGGGAGGAGGAGCAGGAGGGGGTGGGTGCTGGCGACACCTCTGACGCGGAGCATGCTGTTGTTGGTAGTAGCAGTGGTGTGCAGGCGTAGGATTTAATTTGACAGTGACTTTTATATAGGCAAAACATGATGGTGTCGTATGCTAGTGTGCGTTGCATGAACACATATACACCCTCCACCCCCCTATCTATCTTCCCAACCCTCCAGATTCCCTGTTTGACCAATGTGACTAAAACGAAAGTGCCCACGGGCGAACTCGAACATGTTCGGTTCGAACATGTTCGAGTTCGCCCACACATACCAAATGTTCGCCCCCATGGGCGAACGGCGAACACCTCCTGAACCCTAAATTGTTCGCCGGACCGAACCGTGTTCGGTTCGGGAAATGTTGATGTTCGAGCGAACTCGAACCCAAACGTGTTCGAGTTCGCCCTTTGCTCATCCCTAGTGAGGAGCGTGAGAGCAGCTTTTGAGTCGACTCAAAAGCAGATGAGGAGGGGGAGCATGGTAGTGAGGAGCGTGAGAGCAGCTTTTGAGTCGACTCAAAAGCAGATGAGGAGGGGGAGCATGGTATTGAGGAGCGTGAGAGCAGCTTTTGAGTCGACTCAAAAGCAGATGAGGAGGGGGAGCATGGTAGTGAGGAGCGTGAGAGCAGCTTTTGAGTCGACTCAAAAGCAGATGAGGAGGGGGAGCATGGTAGTGAGGAGCGTGAGAGCAGCTTTTGAGTCGACTCAAAAGCAGATGAGGAGGGGGAGCATGGTAGTGAGGAGCGTGAGAGCAGCTTTTGAGTCGACTCAAAAGCAGATGAGGAGGGGGGGCATGGTATTGAGGAGCGTGAGAGCAGCTTTTGAGTCGACTCAAAAGCAGATGAGGAGGGGGGGCATGGTAGTGAGGAGCGTGAGAGCAGCTTTTGAGTCGACTCAAAAAGCATATGAGGAGGGGGAGCATGGTAGTGAGGAGCGTGAGAGCAGCTTTTAAGTCGACTCAAAAGCAGATGAGGAGGGGGAGCATGGTAGTGAGGAGCGTGAGAGCAGCTTTTGAGTCGACTCAAAAGCATATGAGGAGGGGGAGCATGGTAGTGAGGAGCGTGAGAGCAGCTTTTGAGTCGACTCAAAAGCAGATGAGGAGGGGGAGCACGGTAGTGAGGAGCGTGAGAGCAGCTTTTGAGTCGACTCAAAAGCAGATGAGGAGGGGGAGCATGGTAGTGAGGAGCGTGAGAGCAGCTTTTGAGTCGACTCAAAAGCAGATGAGGAGGGGGAGCATGGTAGTGAGGAGCGTGTGAGCAGCTTTTGAGTCGACTCAAAAGCAGATGAGGAGGGGGAGCATGGTAGTGAGGAGCGTGAGAGCAGCTTTTGAGTCGACTCAAAAGCAGATGAGGAGGGGGAGCATGGTAGTGAGGAGCGTGAGGCTGCAGGGTGGTTTGAGAATTCTCAAAAACACCCTGCAACTGGGGGGCAGAAAACACCCTGCAACTGGGGGGCAGAAAACACCCTGCAACTGGGGGGCAGAAAACACCTTGCAACTGGGGGGCAGAAAACACCCTGCAACTGGGGGGCAGAAAACACCCTGCAACTGGGGGGCAGAAAACACCCTGCAACTGGGGGGCAGAAAACACCCTGCAACTGGGGGGCAGATGAGGAGGGGGAGCATGGTAGTGAGGAGCGTGAGAGAAGATGCAGCAGAGGGGTTGGGGAGGCACGAGGAGTTGGGGACAGTGCATAAACACACATCAGCCACATCAGCCACATCAGCCACATCAGCCACATCAGCACACAACTTACAGGCTTTGCAGCTTGCTTCCCTTCCCCAGCCTCTTTCCCGGGCCAAGAGCTACCCACGGCAGACTCCAGAGCTGCCAGGTGCCTCGCCACCAAGCCTGGGTCAGAGCTTCGGTGCTCGAGGCGGCGGGAGGGGAGCGGCCAGAGCGGGTGCAGGTGTGGCGGGGGTGGCTGGTAGAACTGCGCTGAGACTTGACTTCGCAGCTCCAGCTGCTGCAGCAGCCGTTGCTGCTTCTCCTGCTGCTGCTGCGGGGTGGGTTGTGCCTCTTGTGTTAGCTTCTGCTGATAGTTATGACGCTGATACTGCTGCTGCTGCTGCTGCCTGTGCCGAAAGCGGTCCAGCGTTCGTTCAACCTGCCCTCCCTCGCTCTTCACCACTTGCCATGCCGAAAAGTCAATACTGCTGCGACCTTGCCCCTCGCCCCTCAAGCCGCAAACCTGGGAGGCCTCGAACGCAAGCCTCCCTTGCTCTTCGCTTCGCGCGCTGTGCAGCCGGCCGGCTGTGACTGACGAATGCAGCCGTGATTGGCCGGCGACGAGAGGGGGAGGGGGGTCCACGTGGCCTGGTGTGACTGGCCGCAGCTGAGATGCCAGGCTGGGAACATAGGCAGTGGCAGTGCTGGTGGTGGTTGTGGTGGGGGTACTGTTAGTGTTACTGTTGCTGTTGTTGATGGTGGTGGTAGTAGAAATAGTGTTGGTGGTGGCAGTACTGACAGTTTTGTTGCTGTCGGAGTTGCCGTTGTTGTTGTTATTATTATTGGTGGTGGCAGCAACCGCAGCACCCCCACCAGCAACAGCAGCAGCACCACCACCACCACCGCTGCCACTGCTGCTGCTGTAGGTGCTGCTGTTGATTCTTGTCTGTCTCTCTCCACCAGCCTTCGCTGCACTGCGGCTAGCACCACCATTCCCAGTGCTCATCCCATTGCTTCCCCCACCGCCGACCCCACTGCCCCTCCCGCTGCAGCCCAGGTTACCACCAGCAGCAGGGGCTGAGTTGGCCTCTGCACCAACGTAGGCCGATGTTGAGGCTGCAGCGGCAGGTGGGGAAGCAGCACCACCAGCAGCAGCAGGCGCTACAGCAACAGGTGCTACATCAGCAGAAGGAACTGGCGCTACAGCTGGTGCTGCTGGCGCGACTGGCAGTGCGGCAGACATACTAGGTGCACCAGTACAGCGTGGAGGGTCAGGGCCAGAGGCGAAGGTGGTGAGGAAGGAAGAAAAGGATTCGTTGTTGGGAGGAGGGGAATAGCCTCCTGTGAGAAGATCGAAATTGCCTGACACCAACTGGGAATAGAGCGACGGATCTGATACCGCCCCACTGCCCATCGCACCTCCGATACCACCAGCAGCGGCAGCAGCAGCACCACCAGCACCAGCAGCAGCGCCGATTGCACTGCCGCCCACCCCGTGAACGCCACTGATAGGAGGACAGTTGGGAGCAGCAGCGGTGGGTGCAAGAGCAGCAGCAGCGGAAGCTCCTAGTTCCGGACACCAGCTGTTGCTGGCCCTGTGGCGGGACCCAACCTGCCCCCCCACCTGCTGCTGCTGCGGCTGCATCAAGTGCTGCTGCAGTAGGTGCGGCTGCGAGTTACCAGCAGCACCAAAGGGGACCCACGTTGATGGGACGGCAGCACCAGAAGCAGCAGCAGAGGCAGAAGCAGACGCAGAGGCAGAGGCAGGCAGGGGGAAGAGGGTGGGCATGCTGTGGGAAACGGGCGGAGGGGCCATGAACCCCCAGTCATCCAGCAGGCTGATCCCTGTGACGCCTGCGATGCCAGGGATGGTGGACGCGGAGGGGGCATGGTGTGACTGTGATCGCGGGGGCACTGCTGCAGCCACGGCTGACACCGTTGTTCCTGCTGCTGCTGAGCTTGCTGCAGCTGGTGAAGCTCCTGCTGACGCTGATACCAGTGCACGCGGCACTGGTGCCCCTGCTGCTGCTGCTGCTGCTGCCACTGACGCTACTGCTGTTAATGGTGCCACTGCTACCGCTCGAGGCACAGCAGAGGCAGAGTGGGAGCGGATGGGCGTGGGGGAGATGGGCATGGAGTGGTAGTACCGTGACACACCACCTGCCGCACCACCACCAGCACCACCACCAGCACCACCACCAGCACCACCACCAGCACCACCAGCACCAGCAGAAGCACCAGCAGCAGCAGCAGCAGTGGCTGAGGGGGAGGGCAGGGCGACATTGGCGCGCATCTGCGTGTTAAACATGTTGAAGTCAAATGCATCATCCGAGGGGGATGACGCTCCGGACGAGTCGTTATAGGAATTCGAGGCATTGAGTGTGCCTCCTCTGACGCCCACGCTCAGCCTTGCTGCTCCCACTAGTGGTATTCGTGCCGAGGACTGTGCTGCTGCTGCTGCTCCTCCTCCCCCCTCCACAGCAGCAGCCTCAGAAGCTCTACTAGCATTATCAGCAGCGTTAGCAGCAGCATCGACCGCTGCAACGGCAGCAGAGACGGCAGCAGCAGTGGCCATACCAGCAGCACCAGACACGGTCACCTCTACCACCTCCCCTGCCACCGAGTCCCCTCCTCTTGACCCCCTACTCCCTGAATCTCCTCCTCTCGAACCCGAATCCCCTCCCCTTGAACCCGTTCTCCCCGAATCCCCTCCCCCTGACCCCGAATCCCCTCCCACACTCTGCCCCAGCCAGCTACCTCGCCCTCCTCCCCCTCCAAAACCTCCAGGCGCCATTCGTGTTGCCCTAGCCCGCCCCTCCCTACTCAAGGGTCTGGACCACAGAGGGGAAGGTTCTAGATCCCTCCAGATGCCCGCAGAGCGGGGGGAAGGGGTGGAGAGCGGTGCATATTTCATGCTGAACGGTGCGGCAGTGGCGTTGTGGGCGGCAGAGGGGGAAGGAGAAGCAAGGTTAGAGTACCTCCCACTGCGCGTGCCAGGACCACCAGGGTATGCCATAGGGCTTGGAAGCACCAGGGGAAGACCCATACCCAGCGCCCCTATCAGCTGAGATCTCGGACTAGAATAATCCACCACACCCGCTGCTCCTGTTCCCCCTGTTCCTCCTCCTCCTGAACTCCCCATTCGCAGCCGGTCTGCCCTGCCCGAGCTGCTACCCACCCTGGATAAGCCTCCCCCAGGGCCGCCTCGGGAGGAGGGGCGTCTGCCGCTGCCCCCGTGGCTGGAGCCTGGGGTGGCAGGGATGTCCAGTGGTAGGTTGCTGCGGAGGCTAGCCATACCCGCATGCATATCTGAGGGATACCCGTGGTGGTGCCGTGGGCCGGATAGATCAGCGGGACCCTGTTGATGTATCTGCTGCTGCTGTGCGTGCTGCTGGTACTGTTGCTCCAGCTGCTGCTGATGGTGGCTGTGCTGGTGCTGTAGCTGATGCTGCAGCTGGTGCTGGTGCTGGTGGTGATGCTCGGAAGGAGGAGCAGCGGAAACGGAGCGTGTGGGGGAGGAGAGGTGGGAGGGCGAGGCGGGGACAGGGTCGGGGAGGAGAGAAGCGGTGAGGCCGCTGCCGAAGATGGGTGCAGAGCCGGGGGGCGCGCGGTTGAGGCGAGCCGTGAAGAAGAAAGAGGAGCCACGGCCGGGTTCACTCTCCACCCAGATCTCGCCCCCCATCATGTGCACCAGACTGGGATGTGGGGGGAGAGAGGGGCAGAGGAATGGTCATTGAGGATTGAGGCGAGCTGTGAAGAAGAAAGCGGAGCCGCGCCTGGGTTCACTCTCCACCCAGATCTCGCCCCCCATCATGTACACCAGACTGGGGGGCGGGGAGAAGGGAGGGAATGTAACATAGGGATGACGGGGGGTTAGAGCGAGGGGGAGCTGTGAGTAAGAAGAAGATGGAGCCCCAGCCACCCTAAGAAGATGGAGCCCCAGCCACCCTAAGAAGATGGAGCCCCAGCCACCCTAAGAAGATGGAGCCCCAGCCACCCTTAGAAGATGGAGCCCCAGCCACCCTAAGAAGATGGAGCCCCAGCCACCCTTAGAAGATGGAGCCCCAGCCACCCTTAGAAGATGGAGCCCCAGCCACCCTTAGAAGATGGAGCCCCAGCCACCCTTAGAAGATGGAGCCCCAGCCACCCTAAACCTCAAGGTGTTCCCTCCCCCCCTCTCACCTGCTTTTGAGTCGACTCAAAAGCACCCTAAACCTGAAGGTGTTCCCTCCCCCCCTCTCACCTCTGCACGATGACAAGCCCAAGCCCCATCCCAATGCCGCCATACACCCACGTGCTGAACGTGTGTGCCCATTCGTCGCCTACTCCCCACCACACATACCTCTCTCCCTTGCCCCGCTCTCACCTCTGCACGATGCTGAGACCCAGCCTGATGCCGCCATACACTCTCTCTCGTGCAGGATGTGTCCCCGATTCATCCCTCTCCCGTCCCCTCTCCTCTGCCCCGCTCTCACCTCTGCACGATGCTGAGACCAAGCCCGATGCCGCCATACACTCTCGTGCTTGACGTGTCTGCCTGCACAAAGTTGTGGAAAATATCTCCCTGCTTCTCCCGGCTGATCCCAATCCCCGTGTCCTTCACAGCTACCATCAGCCACACCGACCCCCCTCCCTCACTCCCCTCCTCCCCTTCCTCCTCCTCATCTTGCTCCTCTCCCTCCCTCTCCCTCCCTCCTCCTCGCCTCCCTTCTCCTTCCCTCTCCTCCTCCTCGTCACTAGTATCAAGCCGCTGGGTGCTCACATTAGATGACTGCCCCCACAGCATGTTCTTTATACTCATTCCCACACTCATACCGGCGCCACGCTTCCCCCTCCCCCCCTCCTCCCCTCTCCCCGTTCCTCCTGCTCCTCCCCCTCCTGCTACCCCTCCCCCGCCTCCCCCTTCCCCCCCGCGGCCCTCCCTAGGCTGCCTCTGGTGCTGCTGCGAGTAAAAATACCTCCCCCCACCTCTCGGCCTCACTCCTCCCTGCCCCCGCCCCTCTTGCACCCGCACACTCCTACTCCTCCCAAACCCTTCCAACTGCTCTGCACCCACCACCCTTGCCAGGTTGTCACTCTCGGTCCGGTCCAACACTGTCCCTTCAGGTGTGTAAACCAAGGGCTGAACACCCGGAAAATTCCCAGCATACGCCTTCCCTTGGGGAGTATACCCGGTATAGAGCAAAGACTGAGCTTGAGATGCCTCAGATGGTCTAAACCCGAAACCCTGGCCTCTAGCATGGGACCGTGCACTGCTGTTTCGGCTTAACTCCACTACAGAGGAATAATCACTCGCTTGGGACACATTGCTCCGTTGCGACACCAGAGGTCCGGGAGCCGAGCCTGGGGCGAGCGCATGCTCGGGCACGGAGCGAGGCTCGGAGCCAGGCGCGGAAACAGGTGCGGAAGCGGATGCGAGGGCCGGCATGGATTGGCGAGAGAGGGTGGGTTGCGGTGGGGGGAGAGCGCGGGCCATGGGGGAGAGCATGGGGGGTGTGCACGCTTGCATGGCACCCAGAAAGGACGGCTTGCCATGAGCTTCGTCTGCCTCCCCTAGGTCTCTAAAATCCAGGACTCTCTGTGGGTGTGGCGACCCCAACTCGTGATCACTATCCCTCTCCCTCTCTCTTTCTTCTCTTGCCCGCGAGAAGAACCCACTGCCGGCCCGCGACCCAGCTCCTCCCCTGCGGCTGCTCAGTCCCCCTTCGCTCCACTTGCCGCTGCTTCTCCCGCTGCCTGCCAGCCCAACATCTAAGAAGTCAACCCGCCTGCTGCGAGTCTCACTGGAGCGCGTTCGAGACACAGGCACCTGCAAGTCCTCCTCATCCCTCTCCTCGTCTCTGTCCACATCGCCACCTCTCCCTACACCCCTCTCTATACTCCTACCTCTACCCCTCTCTCTAGGAAACGACTCCCCATCTGACAGACTCCCACACTCCACCACTCCCTCACTCCCTCTTCCTCTAGCCGACACCCCCCCTCCCTCTCCCCCTCTTCTCGACCCCCGGCCCCAGCTCTTCTCCTGCCTCCTCCCACTCCTCCAAACCCCTCCCAAGTCCCCTGTTTCCTCCCCGCTATCTGTGCGTCCCTCTCCCCCTGCCCAGGGTTCTGACCAATCACCAGCCTCGTAACCAAGACACTGGTATATCCCTACCCCACCTCCCAGCTCAGCCAACTCCTGGCTGCCACGTCGGCTTCTCTTACCCGGACCAAAGAGGGAGGCTCGGCGGCTACCGGACCTGCCGAGCGTGGACCGGTGGGAGGAGGTCGGGCGGCTGGGAGGGTCGGAGTGCCAGCCTGAGCTAGCGTCTGGACAGGTGGGCCTGGGGGCGGTAGCATCTGCCTCTGCTACTCCTGCTGCTGCTGCCTCTGCTGCTCCTCCTCCCGATGGTGACAGTTGTGATGATTGTGCTGCTGCTGCGCCACAGCCATCGCCTAGTGCAGCAGCAGCAGCACCGCCTCCACCACGACGAGTATACGCATCACTCGATGCTGGTCTTACTCTCTCTTCTCCTCCCTCCCACCCTCTCCTCTCCTCCTCCCTCTCCCCTTCCCTCTCCTCCCTCCTGCCGTCTCCTCTCCTCCTGGTGAAGGACCTCCCCAGAAACGCGAGGAAACTTCCAGGAATCTTATCAGAAGCAGACAAAAGAACGCCTTCCCTTGACTGGGGCCGGCGTGACGCATCTGCTGCGGCGGCAGCAGCAGCAGCAGCTGCAGCCAGAGAACCCACACCACCAGCACCAGCGGGAGTGCTGGGGGTAGCAGGGCAAGTCATAGACCTGGGAACAGCCTTACGCTGCCTTTTCTGATGGCTGTGACGCTGTTGCCGCTGCCCCTGCGCCTGCCCCTGCCCCTGCGCCTGCCCTGGCCCTTCCTCTTCAAGGTTGGAGATACATGACTTGTGGCGGCGGTGGTGGCGCTGCTGCCGGTCCTTGCGCCGCTGCCCCTGCTTCTGGCAGTGCTGCTGGTGCCGGGTGCTGCGGAAGAGGAGTGAGATCTCGAGGGTCACTGACCCTGTCTCTGTGAACTTGATCGCATTGCCCACTGGGGGTCAAAGAAGGGGTGGGGGAAGAGGGAAGGGTTTTAGAATATGGGGATGCTAATGATGATATGGGTGCTGCTGTGGACCAGCAGTGAGACTTTGAGGGTCACTGACCCTGCCTCTGCGAACTTGATTGCATTGTTTTTGGTGCAGGGATGGGGAGGGGAAGAAGAGAGAGGGAGGGGAAATTGGGAATGTTCGTGAGGATATGTGGTGTCTGTTGCTGCGGAAGAGCATGGAGATCTTGAGGCTCACTGACCCTGTCTCTGTGAACTTGATCGAATTGCCCACTGGGGGAGGGATGGGGAGGGGAAGGGATGGCATAAGCAGGGGAAGGGAGAGGAGGAGGATGGAGGGAAGATGGAGACGTTTGTGAGGACACGGGTGCTGCTGCGGAAGAGCAGGGAGATCTCGAGGGTCACCGAATCTGTCTCTGTGAACTTGATTGCATTGCCCACTGTGGGCAGAGATGGGCAGGGGAGGGAGAGGGAGGGAAAATGGAGATGTTTGTCAAGAAAAAAATATGCTGCTGCGGAAGAGCAGGGAGATCTCAACTCCCCTCTCTCACCAAACCCATGGGGTTCGTTTCGTTGTCCTAGAACAACAGGGGAGCTGATAGAAGTAAGGCTAAGGCCTTTGCAGCCCACCTGTCCGCGACTGACACGCAGAGCATTTATTAAGTTCCTTATCCAGGTTGATGAGGCACTGCTGCAGCCAGCCTGGGTCCCCCATGAGCTCGAGCGGCGCTTTGGGAGAGAGTTGAGATAGCAAGAATTGATCCAGCCAGCATTCCAACAGCAGCTGATGGGAGAGAGTTATGAGCCTGCTTACCCAGGTTGATGAGGCACTGCTGCAGCCGGCCTGGGTCCCCCATGAGCTCCAGAGGCACCTTCTCCGCCACGTGCCATGAAAAGCCCAGCTGCTTCTGCTCTGCGCGCACCTGCAGAGAGGGGAGAGAGGCATGGGGAGGAACGGAAGGAAGGAGTGAGTGTGACCGTCTGAATGCCCGTGTCGCGCATCTGCTTCCATAAGATCCAGAGGTACCTTCTCCGCCACATGCCATGAGAACGCCAGCTGCTTCTGCTCTGCTCGCACCTGCCAGGGAGGAGGGGGGGGGGGGAGACAGAGGGCGGAACGAGAGGAAGAAGTGGGTGTGAGTGCCCCTAAGAAGCATCTGCTAGACTACTACCGCTTTCATATGAAAGCGGTCCAGCAATATCTGAGTGAATGAGTTGGAGTGGGGCTGTGGTGCGAGAATGGGACACGCCAAATGGCTGACGTGTTTGTTTCCCACGATAGCACGAGATGCAGGGGGGAATCGAGGTGGAGGAGAGGTGAAGACCGGTGACCAGCTGCTGCCGATGAAGTGTTGACAAGGCCTGCATGTTGAGATGCCCGAAACGACGATGCCAGAGGTACGAGGAGGTGGTGGTGGAGGCTGGACATGCAGTTGGCTTGATAGAAGGAGCAGCACTGCTCCCATGATGCAGTTGAAGATAAAACAGATTGTTGCGGGTGTAGCCCTCGCCAATAGGAACGTCATCAGATGTGAGAACAACGCGCCCAGCAGCGGGGAACGAGACGGCAACGCCGGCAGCACCAAGCGCACGAACAGAGAGCAGCTTGTGAACTGATGAAGGGAGAAATAGAACGTTGTCAAGCTGAATGGTGGTTTCCGATGTTGGTGACCGAAGAGTAGCCACCACCGTGCCGACTCCCAAGACCTTGTAAGTCTCTCCTCCACCAAAACGAACAAGGATCTCTTCGTTGGACTTCTTGAGAGACGAAAACAGCGAACGATCCGAGCAGATATGGGAGGATGCGCCGCTGTCCACCAGCCACGACGAAGTCCGCTCCATATTGAATGAGGAGGCCGTGAATGCCGATGCGTAGGGAGCCCCATAAGGGAAGAGGAGGAGGAGAAGGAGGATGGTGAGAATGAAGACAGCAGCGACGAGAGGAGTCCATGTGGAGAAGATGGGGTGGTGGCTGGTGCTGACAGCAATGTCCACGTACCGGGAATCAGGTACGGACTGAGGGGTTGATGGGGCAGGAGGGGGTGTGGGGGTCGGAGTAGCTTCAGCATAGGAGCTGGTGGAGACATGCACCGAGGGTTGGAAGACGGATTTCTCCCGTTTAGAGCTTTCTTCAAGCTCTTTCTTCTTCTTCAATTTGAAGCATTCATCGATGGTGTGACCCGTTTTCTTGCAGTAACGGCAGGTGGGCGACTGGCGTGAACCGGAGCGAAGAGGGTGGGAGGGCTGGGAATTGAGGTTGTATGCACCCTCCATGTTACGGCTTGTACCAGATTGTGACCGCTCCCAATCGGCATCGAGTAGGCGTGACTGTAGGTATTCAACCGTCATAGACTTTATGTCTTTCACGGTGCAAATGGTTTCAGTAAGGGTCTTGAACGAGTCCGGAAGGTTGAGGATGATGGAGATTACCACCACCCATGATGGTAGCTCAAAGCCGGCAGATTTGAGTTGGTGTGTAAGGTTTCCAACTCGATCAAAGTAGGAGCGAAGACTTGTTGTTGGGTCCATCCGTGTAGTGATGAGATCCCGGAGGAGAGCCACTTGTGCATGGTTGCCCATGCAGTCGAACCGCGCCATGATGCATCCCCACATATCCTTTGTCGTGTTGGCTTGAGCAAGAGTGAGCGATAGTTGAGGATGGACGGCTGACATGAGAAGATAGTATGCATGCTCCTCTTTTTCTTCATCCGGCAGCGAAGCAATCGAATGGGCTGTCTTAGGGGCTGCACCGCTGTTGCCTTCGGTAGTCTCTCCACCGCTGGTTGTGGAAGAGGAGATTGAAGGACGCGAAGCAACCTTGGGATCTCCAAGGAGGGAGATCAGCCCGAGGACATTGAAGATGTAGCAGATCTTTTTCTTCCATGGAATGAAGTTGGAACCATCTGGTTCCAAGATGGGAAGGGTGTGCCGACCGAGAGGCGTTTCAACTTGAGCCATGAAGTGTGCAACGTTCACTAAGCTAGAAGCCTTGCTCTGATAGCATGTAGAATGAGGATCGGTGAACTTGAGGCCCAATGAGAGAAGAACAATATATCCTTAGTAGGAAGATGGTACAAGCCTGAAAGGCTAGAGCAATGTCCTTTCCAAGGATGAGTTCTAGAGAAGTGGGAAGCCACATTTATGTGGCTGAACTCTTGAGGCTAGCTGCAGCACCTCAAAGCTGAGGGCAGGGCTAGCCAACCTTGCCAAGCTAGCAATTGAGGCCACATGTTGCACATGTGGGCCAGGCTGGAACAACAGCCTACATGGCAGCATGTGGCACACCATAGGAGCCAACAAGGTGAGTATGGGATGGGTGGACAGATGGCAATGCCAACTGTGACCACACTTCACTGTGGGTGAGTGTGGTGGAGTGTAGGAGTGTCATGTTCGGCATAATGAGAAGAGAAGGTGCTGCCGATGAGAGTTGAACCCGCGACCACTAAGACCAAAGGTACCCACTAGGACATTCTTGCTTCCACAACAGGGAGGAAGGAAAAGAATTGAAACCCTGTATCAAGCAAGCATCGGCTACCAAACCAGCACTGCCTGCAGCACTACCAGCAGCACCACCATACGGATGGATCATGTGCGTGGTGGATCCGCCAGCACTCACTTGCAGCATGCGCATAGTATACCCAACCCACCCACATCCTGCAGCCGGAAAGGCGCTTTATCCAGCGCCAGCTGCCCCGCCTCTATCCTCACAAGGTCCAGCACGGTGTTGGCGATGTTCAGCAGGCAAGGCAATCCCCGTGAAGCCACTCACCTGCAGCATGCGCATGGTCGACTCGACCCCACCCACCACATCCCTCAATCTGAACAGCACTGCATCCAGCGCCAGCTGCCTGCCCCGCCTCTATTCTTGCAAGGTCCAGCAAGGTGTTGGCGATGCTCAGCAGCAGATCCCTGTGAACCCACCACCTGTGAATCCCCGTGAAGCCACTCACCTGCAGCATGCGCATGGTCGACTCGACCCCACCCACCACATCCCTCAATCTGAACAGCACTGTATCCAGCGCCAGCTGCCTGCCCCGCCTCTATTCTTGCAAGGTCCAGCAAGGTGTTGGCGATGCTCAGCAGCAGATCCCTGTGAACCCACCACCTGTGAATCCCCGTGAAGCCACTCACCTGCAGCATGCGCATGGTCGACTCGACCCCACCCACCACATCCCTCAATCTGAACAGCACTGTATCCAGCGCCAGCTGCCTGCCCCGCCTCTATTCTTGCAAGGTCTAGAACAGTGTTGGCGATGCTGAGCAGGCAGTCCACTGACTGCGCCACCACCGTCAGATGCTCATGCACCTCCACCGTTAGATCGCTCCGCTCCACCCAAACTAGCAGCACTGCCAGCCAGAGACAGAGCACCACCAGCACCTCTGAAACCACCAAGCAATGGACTCACCTGCAGCATTCTCATGGTCGAACCAACCACGTCCCGCAGCCGGAACGGGACTTTATCCAGAGCCAGCTGTCCGGCCTCTATCCTGGCAAGGTCCAGCACAGTGTTGGCGATGTTCAGCAGACAATCGGCCGACTGAGCCACCACCGTCAGATGCTCATGCACCTCCACCGTTAGATCGCTCCGCTCCGCTAATGCCGCTGCTGCTGCAGCGGCGGCGGCGGCAGAGGCAGAGTGGGAGGAGGAGTGGTGAGGGATGGGCGGCAGTGGGATGGCTCGGAGGGACTCGAGGGTGTCCATGGCGAGCGCTGTCATGCCGATGATGCCGTGGATGGGCGTGCTGGGGGGATAGGGTGGAAGGTTGGGAAGAAGGGGAGGGGCGGGAGAGGGGCATGGGAGGGGAATGAGGAGGTGAGGAAAAAGGAAGGGTCCGGATGGTATGGGCAGACATCGCCCCTTCTCCCGGATGGTATGGGCGGTAGGGGAATGGCTCGGAGGGACTCGAGGGTGAAGGAACAGGGGCAAGATGGTACGGGCAGCAGCTCGCAGGGACTCGAGAGTGCCCATGGCCAGGGCTGTCATGCCGATGAAGCCGTGGATGGGCGTGCTGTTGGGGTGTGGGGGGGGGAGAGAGGAGCGAGGATGGAAGAGGAATGAGATGGGGTGAAGGGGCCGCATGAATGGTATGGGTGGCATGGAACTTTGCCAGTGGCATGGCATGACGGCAGGCGTTACCGGATCTCGTGGCTCATGTTGGCCAGGAACTCCGTCTTGGCCCACCCCGCCTCCTCCAGCATGCAGGGGAAGACGTGAACCTAGACATCACTCAGAATCACTCAGGCAGTAGGGTGTCAGTGTATCTAACTTTCTACGCAGCAGAAGGGCAGGCAGGGCGTTACCGGATCTCATGGCTCATGTTGGCCAGGAACTCCGTCTTGGCCCTCCCCGCCTCCTCCAACTCCTCCTTTGACTTCTTCAGATCCTGTAACCGGACAGTGGGAGGGGGGGAGGGAGGGGAGGAGGGACAGAAGGATGGCAGAGAGCAAAAATGCTGGCCTGGCAGGATGGCGGATTCAGACGGGAAGTGTGTGACCGCTGTCAGTAGCGGAAAGGTGGGCTGCGGAGGTCTTCTTTCCATCAACCCGAATGGTTCTTAATACGACGGAACAAACGCCATTGAATGAATGAAGGGAGGAGCCTGGTTAACTGTGAGCTAGAGAGTTTTCTTAGAGAGCCAGATTGAACCAATCATCAGCTTAAAATCAGAACTTGCATGAAAAGGATGGCGGAGAGCAATGATGCTGGGACGATGGCGGATTCAGACGGGAAGTGTGTGACCTTTGAGCTACTCAGGTGTCACCCGTCCCACCTCGTTCCAGTCACTACACAGGTCACCCAACACACAGACGTGTAACCCAGCCCACCTCGTTATACTGCCTGATCTGCTCTGTCCGCCGCTGCACCTCCCCCTCCAACCGTGCATTCAGCCGCCGCAGCTCCTTCCTCAGCCGATTCGTGTCCCTCACAGCCGCCGCCACCACCACCCCCACCACTCCAACCGTCACCACAAACACCTGCAGCTGCAGAATCGTCTCATTCGCCTTCTCCCTCACCAGCGGGCCCCACCCTCTCGCCGTGCAGCAGCACGCGATCAGCACCACCAGCAGCAGTATGAGGCCCGACCCGTGGCGGTTAAACCTAACCGCTGCCCAGAGGACCCCCGGGAAGAGCATGTAGGGGAGGGAGACGATGAGCGGGCTGGCTCCTGGGGCGAAAATGAGGAGCGAGATGCCTGTGTTGAGGAGGAATAGAGCAAGGAATTCCCAGCTCTTGGGGGTGGAGAGGAGGTGGCAGAGGAAGCGTGACCAGATTTGTGTGGAAGGGAAGGAGAGGGAGGGCGGATGGGATGGGGAATGTGGAGAAGGAGAATTGGGCTGGACTTGTGCTGCTGCTGTTGATGCTGATGCTGCTGGAAAAGGTTTCCACACCGACACTTGCATAAGTAACGGCATCGTGAGAATAATCCCTGAAAAGCTCGCCAGCGTCCGAAAGCACCCAGTAATGGCCGCGGTTTCCGGCGTCTCGGCTCCGATAAGAGAGAGAACGATCGACACGATGCCCTCGAAGATGAAGGAGATGAGGAAGGAGAAGAAGAAGAGGCGGAAGGTGTTGGACACGCGGTCGAGTGGGGTGAGGTCGGTGGGCTGGCGGCGGAGGAAGCGCATGAGGAAGAAGGCGAGGAGGAGCACAAAGAGCGTGCGGTCTGTGGCGATCACGAGGGAGTAGAGGACGAGGTGCAGGCGCGGCAGGGTCACGTGGAGTGCGCCGTAGGTGAGCGAGAGGGCTGTGCCTGCGAGGAAGAGCGCCGGCCAGATGCGATAGCCCAGTGCCTGTTGGGGGGAGGGAAGGGGTTGGGGATAGGGCAGAGGCAGGCCAACGGAGCATAAGATTTGGCTAGACCGTCCCAGATTCGTAGGTGAGGGAGAGGGCCGTGCCTGCGAGGAAAAGAGCCGGCCATGCGGTAACCCAGTGCCTGTTGGGGGGAGGGATGGGGTTGGGGATAGGGCAGAGGTAGGCCAACGGAGCACAAGATTTGGCTAGACCGAATGATTTGTAGGTGAGGGAGAACGTCCCTTATTAAGGGATTCTCGGAAACACCCTGTCGAAGGAACCAAGTGAAGGGAGCGCTCGCTCGTGACGACAGCAAAATCCAAAGAGAAGAACACCCTGTGGTACCAAGGAGTGGGAGAGAGAGCTCACGAGGACAACGAAGAGCGCGAGGCCCGTAGGGGGCCAGACAGGCGCCGGCAGAAAGAGCAAGTCGCCCACTTTGGCCGCGAAAAGCATGGCAGCTGACACTCCCGTCAGTCCCACCGCCACCAGCAGCACCAGCACGACCTGCTGCCACCACCCCAACTCCCGCATGCTAATCACCAACGGCCACGTGCTCCTCTTCGCCCCGTTATAGGCTTCCCCGATTTCGTCCTCCTCGTCCCCTGCGTGGCTGCTGAGACTCTCGTCTTCGTCGCCCTCCTGCCCGTACTCGTTAAGACTAGACTCGCCAGAAGACGAGAAGCTCTCCGCGTCACGGTACGAGTCGCCGCTGCTCTCACTCTCACCGCCTCTCGCGGCGGCATCGCCATCGGCCAAGCCTCTGGCAGTCGCTATGGTTACCGGGTTACCATCCGGCATGTCCGCGAGGCCATGCGAAAGAGTCTCCTGCCTACCCATGTCCATCTCGACTACGTAAGCCCCCCCCTCGCTCCTTCCGCTTCTAGCGCTGCCTCTATATCCCCCATCGTCCCTCTCTCCGCCTCTCTCTCCGCGTATCATGCTATCCCCGCCTTCCCCCCTCCTGCTCGCGCCGGCGGACTGCCCCATTCTCCCGCTGGCACCGCGGCCGATTCGGCTGTCGCAAATACCGGCTTCCTCGCCGATTTCGCCGTCGGGATCTCGGCTGTCGCCTTGCTCCAGGTCCCAGTCGTCCGCGCGAAACGAGTTCGGCTGCGACAGCTGGTCGAGAGCCGACGGCCACTCTGCGACGTCGCCCTGCGACCGATGATCGTCCGCCAGGGCGTACTCATCCTGCGCCGCATCCCGCGCCGCTGGGCCTAGTGATACGAGCCGCGGTGCGGCTCGGTCACTTTGATACTCTGCAGTTAAATGGCTCCCGTCCATCTTGTTATTCAAGGGAGCGCGAATCGTTTCACTCGCATCCAAATCGTTGAATGCTATTTCGAAACAAGGTCAATGCGGAAAATAGACCCAAACCAGTCTCGCCTAGAGCCTTTCCCGTCCATTCCAGCTCTCCGCCTCCTACGAACGTCGCTAACCGCTTGGACTGGTAAGCGCCGACCTAAAAGTCCTTGTGATTAGAACTCCGTGTTCTGTTAGTTCCCCGAGGCGGCTTTGCAACTAAGGACGTCAAATATTCAGGAAAAAAAACGAGCGGTTCTGTTCATTCAAAGCGGTTGAGTACGATGATCTGCTCTTTAGGGCGGCGTTTCAAACCACCACTTTGAACCACAACTCTGAAAACCAACTCTCTCTCGTCGCGATCTGCTGTCTCTGCTTCCCCTCCCCTGCCTAAATGCTCAACTGTTCATTCATTGTTGTGCTGAATGCTGGTGCGGTGTGGGTGGGAAAGGGGAGGTGGGTCCGTCTGTTGGCTTGTGCACATTTCCTGCACACGCCTCACAGCCTGACGAAGCTGGTTTGGCCCTTGGGAACAGTCACTATGGCTTCGCCTGCAGGACCTGAAACCAGCTCCCAGGTACAACGAAACTGGTTACCATACTTATGAAATCGTGGAGTTTTCGTCAGGGAGTGCTGCTTTCAGGTAGAGGTTCTCGAGGTACCTGAAGTTTGACGGCAGATTCACTAGTGGAATGGACGCGAATAACAGATTGGTTGGAAGGCCCCAGATCTTGTCGTATACAGTACAGTAACGAGAAACCGAAGGCGTGGAATCAAACTGAAATTCCTTGAATTTGAACCACGGAAACAAAACTCATCCAACTCAAATCATACTATATATCATATATAAAAGAGCCCATACAATTCTTCTGTACAGATGCCCATACTCCTTCAAATGTTGTACTTCTTCATCCAGGGAAACTCTGCATTTTCCACAGGCACAAAATGAGCAAGCGCTTGAAGGTTTAAGTAAAATCAAATCGTTTAGCAAACCTGAGCAACTAGAGACTGAATGTATTTTACTTTGTTACCAAACACTCACCATGAATCTGTTGTATCGTTGCCCTCTCCTCTGGATCTTTCTCAAGCATCCTCCGCACCACCGCTTTCGCTCCCTCCGACACTCCTTCCCACCGCGGCCCCTCCATGCGAGCCGGCCCGTGCATTATCGCCTCAACCAGCGTGCGGTTCTTGGTGGCAAAGAAAGGAAGAGCCCCGGAGAGCATGACATAGAGCACGATGCCGGCGCTCCACACGTCTGCTGCCGGCCCGTACCTGCCTTGCAGCAGCTCCGGCGCCATGTACATGGCCGTTCCCACTGGGTCCATGCAGGGCATGCCTGGAACGGAAAAAAGGCAAGTCCAATATGGGGAGAGGGAACCAATGAATAACACAAGCAATGTAGGGTGTGCCTGGAACCCAAAAAGACAAGTCCAAGGAGGGAGAGAGACACAAATGAATGAAGAAGCAGCTGAGTCGGGCTTAATCTTGTGCACCACTTGCTATAGTAGCACCACATATGGCGGCGCTTCTTACCCGGGGAAAATCGGGTTGCAACTCCAAAGTCCCCCAGCTTCACAAGAACCTTCTCCCCGTCCCCGCCGCCGCCTCCCCTTGCATATATCAGCACATTCTCCGGCTTCACATCGCGGTGAATCACGCCCAAGTCATGGCAGTGCTGCAGCGCGTGCAGCAGCTGCGACAGAATGCACGCAGCGGTGGGTTCGGGGAGGCGTGTGCGCATCTTGACATGGTCGAAGAGGTCCCCATGGCGGCACAGCTGCATCACCAGGTGCACTGCTTGGGGGTCCTCAAAGACAGAGTGCAGCTCTACAATGCCCGGATGCCCTTTTACTTTCTCCAGTGCTTCTACTTCTCGCCGAATGTCCTCTGCTGCGGGCAGGGTCTGGGGAGGGATGGGGGAGGGGCGGGAGGGAGCGGGCAGGAAAGATAGACAGCTGAGATTAAGATGCAGACAGTAGCAGCAGTGGGCTCTGGAAGGCGCGTGCGCGTCTTGACATGGTCGAAGAGGTCTCCGTGGCGGCACAGCTGCATCACCAGGTGCACGGCGTGGGGGTCCTCTCACGCCGGATGGCCTCTCACTTTCTCCAGTGCTTCTACTTCCCGCTGAATGTCCTCTGCTGCTGGGAGGGTCTGGAGGGGACAGGGGAGGGCACGGGGAGGGGAGTGGGAGGGAGCAAGAGGAGAAGACAGACAGCTGGGATCAAAGATGCAGACAGCAGCAGCGGGAGCAGCAGCTGCGGCAGCGGCAGCGGTGGCAGCAGCAGCAGCAGCTGCAAATGGGTCAGGATTCACCTGAATGCACGTGTGCCCTCCACCCACCTCAATGTTCCTCTTCTTGATGGTCTTGCACGCGAACGCCACCCCGCCAAGCGCACCGCGCGGCACACACTTGTAGATCACCCCGAACTGCCCTCGCCCTATCTCCCGCCTGCCCACCACGAAGCGACTCTGAAGAGAGACGTACGGACGCCCCAACACGCTCCCCTGCACACCTCCCCCCTCTGCTAGTTTCAGTGGCGGGGGGCTAGCTACCTGCCTCTTCTGCTGCTCGTGTTGCTGTTGCTGCTTCTTCTGCTTCTGCTGCTCATTATCCTCTTGCTGCTTTTGCTGCTGCTTCTGCTGCTGCTGCTGCTGCGGCTGCTGTTTTTGCTGCTGCTGCCTCATCTGCCGCCCCTCAGGCTCACCACGCTCCTCCCCACGCCCACTGAACCGTTCTGAACCATTCCAGCGACCTGAGCCACCACCGGCATCGCCTGCAGACGAGGGGTCAAACTGGCCCGACGCACGGCGGCGGCGACTGTACCCCGAATCACTTGGAACCGAATCAATTGCCTCAAATGGCATGTGTGGCGGCACAGCGTCCCACATATCGCCTGAAGGCACGGCAACATCTCTGAAGGACCCCACAGCCCCGCCGTACCCCAACTGTCTGCCACTGCCCACCGCGCCCCCACGTCTCCTGCTACTGGGGCTGTCTGGGACTGTAGAGATTCCCCTCATACTCCTGCGGGCTGATCTGCCTACGTCTCTGCCACTCTCTCTGTCACTCTCTCTGCCACTCTCTCTCCCTATCCCTCTGCCAATCGCTCTGTCGTCTGTCATCCGACCGGCACCCGACTCATTCTTCCCTGCTGCCTCCCCTTCTGTTCTCACTGCTGCTCCCTCTGATACTGAGGAGGAGGATGAGGAGGATGGGGATGATAGCTGCGATATCGATGGTCCCCCATACAGATCTCCGTGGCAATACAAATCCCTGTGCCCGGCCGCCTTACCAGCCTTGCCATCCCTCTTACCCTCACCTCTTGGCACTGGCATCTCCCCATACAAGTCCCCCCCATGCACAACCGTCTGCTTTTGAGGCATGGGCATTGGCGTTTCCTCAAAGCTCAACTCCCCGTGCCCAACCACCCCACCAGACTTGCGACGCGCTGTAGCCGCTGCTGCTCCTCTTGGCGTTTCACCATACAAACCCCCATGCTGAACCTCTTCAGCAGCAGCCTTGCCATGCCTCGACTTTTGAGGCACCTCAAAACTCAAATCCCCATTCCGAACCGTCTCACCATCCTTCCCACACCTCTTAGCCCCCTCTAAACCACCTCCCAGCTCCTCTTGTTTATCACCGCCTTTAGCTTTCTCCTCCTCCCCCGACCTAGGCCCATCCTCCTGGTCCTCCAAATACTCGTCTACATAATCGTCCGGCGCGTCTTTAAACGAGTTATCGAGGCAGCCTCTAAGGAGGTCGCGGAGAAGGGGAGGGGCGAAGAGGAACGAGGGGCAGGAGGCGCGGCGGCGGAAGGAGGAGAAGCCAAGGTGGGGAGGAGGGGGGAGAGGGGGAGGAGGAGGGCAGGGAGAAGGAGGCGGAGGGAGAGGCGGAGGAGGAGGGGCCAGTCGCCTTGAAGACCTTCCTTCCGTTCTCAGGTCGCTAGCTCCCCGCATTCTCATCTCCCCGTCTTCCCCCGTTGTTACTTTCCCAGTTCCTCCCAATCTCAGCATTCCGGCTGTAGCAGCAGCATTCCCAGGGGATCTTGGAGGCGCCTCAAAAGCCTCCCCAGCTGTAGCGGCGGTATTCCCAACGGTCGGTGACAACTGAGTCCGGCTTTCTGGTGAGTCAACGCAAGTCAACGCCGCCTGGCACTCGTCAGCTTCTCTGCACGGCCATAACTTGCCCGGTTCTACCTCCCCAAGTTCATCCCTCTGCCCCGCTTCCGCCACCCTCAGTTCTACCTTCCCCAGTTCTACCTTCCCCAGATCAGCCTCCCCCCGTTCGCCCTCCCTCCGGGGCTGCCCCTGCCCTTCCCGCGCGCTGCGCCTGCCCACCCACGACATGCTCGCGCGGCCCCAGCTGCGCCACGTGGCAGCAGCTGATTGGGGGAGCGGCGGGAGCGGGTGCGTGGGGCTCTGCACCACGGCTGACGCGCTCCGCGTGTGCCGCCCCCCGCGGGATACCGCCACCGCCGCCGCTGCTGATGATTCTCCCCCTCCCCCTGCCGCTGCTCCTCCCCCTCCCACCCCTCCCCATACACCTGCACCTGCCACTGCCGCCGCTGCTGCCTGTTGTTGTTGCTGCTCTCGTGCTACTGCTGCTACTGCTGCTGCTGCTGCCGCTGCACCGGATAAAATCTCCTCGCCGCTGCTTCTACTCTCGCTGCTCACGCTGAAGCTCTGGCCTCTCATTCGCTGCTTTTGTCCGAGAATCACGGGCCCGGCTTCCCACAATGGCAGGCTGCCACGTGGCGAAGCGACGGGGAGGGGCTGCAGCCGGGGCGACTCTTGCGGCGCCGTGGACGGCCGCGGAGAGAGGGGCGGCAGCAGCGCATTCGCGACCATTAGGGGACTGCCACGTGGCGATGTGACAGCCGTCGTGAGACTGCCACGTGTATAGCTATGAGATTGCCCGAACGTGAGACTGCTACGTGGCGATTTCACAGCTTGCCCCAGTGGAAGACTGCCACGTGGCGATTCGACAGCTTGCCCAAATGGGAGACTGCCACGTGGCGAATTGACAGCTTGCCCCAATGGTAGACTGCCACGTGGCGAGGGAACGGGCGGCGGCCGAGGCGACAGAGAAATCGGTTGGGGAGAGGGTTTCGCGTACATGTATGATGGCGTGAAGATAAAACCGCGGTCTTCCTCAGTAAACTCTTCATCTGCCCGTTCGCCTGCCCTTTTGTCTGCCTGACTGCTAGGAGAGCAATTTTGCGGGGGAAGCTGGCGCAAGCGCGTCGGGGAAGGGGAGAGGCAGGCGGAGGAGGAAGGGGAGGGGGAAGGCGAAGGGTTCCGAGGCGGCCGCTCGGCGCGGAGCGGCGGAAGGTACCGGCGCGGAGGGGAGGGGGAGGGGGAGGAAGAGGGGGAGTTGCGCGTCCACGCGGTCTGGTTCAGCGACTGCGCCTTGCGTAACGCGCGCGGGGCTCGCGACGCGGCAGCACCAGTAGTAGTTATAGTGTTTATAGAGCTACTCTTGCCAACGTCCCCAGGCAGTCGTAGCACCAGGGGGTTCCTGCTCGCATCGCGGCGCACCAACCGAGTCGAATTAGGGCTGCTGCTGCTGCTGCTGCTACGGTTACTGCTACAGCTGCCGCTACAAATGCTGCTACAGGCGCAGCTACAGCAACTGCTACGGTTGCTGTTACAGCTGGCGCGGGCACTCGCGGCGGCGGCGGCTCTCGTGGCGCGGAGCGGCAGCGGAGCGGGGCCCTGGCGCGGCGGGGAGGGGGAGGGGGAGAGACTGCGCTGCCACAGCGGGGCCCTCTGCGTCTCCGACTGCGCCTTGCGCAGCACGCGCTGGCCGCGGGGTGCATCCGGCCGCGCCGCGGACGAAACGGCGGCGGCTTCCGCTGCTTCCGCGTCTGCTGCTAGAACCGGCGTTGGAGGAGACCCCCAGAATTGCGGAGCTGGCTGGAGAACCGCTGGGGCTCTTGGCGATACTGCCGCTGTCGCCGTCGCAACAGTCGCTATTCCAGCCGAGGTCGCAGGCGACGCCGCGGTCGCAGCCGTCGCCGCAGTCTCAGACGTTGCCGCGGTCGCAGCCGTCGCAGTCGCCCTAACTATCGCCGCTGCCGCTGCTGCTGCGGCGGAGAATGATTGGCTGGCAGCCGCGGATCGCGTCGACAGGTACGCGCGCCGCCGTAGCTGGTTGTGCGCCTCGAGACGAGTCATCACGTCGCTGCTGCTTCTGTTTATGCTGTTACGGTTCGCGCCTCCTCTACGACGACTACTAATAGTTGTAGGACCAGTTGTAGCTGTTACGGTGTTACACTCACGCTGCTGCGATTCTAGAGTCGACTCAAACATGTCGCCGCGGTTGGCGCCTCCTCTGCTTCTACTACTGCTACTTGTAGTGCTGCTAGCGTTACTCTCACGCCGCTGCAGCTGCTGCTGCTGCCGCTGAAACTCCCAAGGCTGCGGATTCAGCGCCTCGGCCTTACAAGTACTAATACCTGGGACGTGGGTTATGTCGTGCATCGACTGCGACGTTGTGCGACACCTCGGCGACCGTCGCTCTCCCCGTGCGACTTCCACAGGCGCATTCGCCGCCAAGGAAGCTTCAGCTTCACTACGAGCTCCCTGAACGTGTCGGCGCAGCGCCTTTGCGCGCGGATTCCCGTTATTATCACAATCCTTAAACTCCATGGCTAGCGGCATGATTGGGGAGGAGGGGCAACGCCGATGACCGTTACTCCCGTCCGCGTCGCGCTGCGAAATATTTCCGGGAAACACAAGCGGCGGCAAGCACGTCGGCGGCGCGTCTCGCCCTACGGCTCGCATCGCGCGTTCTGCCGCGTCATCGTCCTCATCCGACGACGAGTCGTCGTTTGCCGGCTGAGCAACGAGCACCACCTGCCGGCCGTCAAAACCAGCGTCACGTTGCTCCTGAATCTCCCGCTGAACCGGCAACTGTCGGCAACTTGCTGCGGATGGTGCGAGCGATGTCGCGTTGCTGCTAAACGACGAGCCACGCCAACCAGCGCCGGCGGCGGCAAAATCCGGCAGCATCTGTCTGTCAGTTTCGACGCACGGGAATGCCGCGGCGGTTGCGCCACTATCTGCTGCAAAACCCATTCTTCCTCTGATGATTTAATTCCGTAAGGTAGTAGCGGCTGTTTTTTAAAACACAGCGGCTTCTGCACTTGCAAATTCTTTTGCTACGCCTGCGGCGGGGCTTCCGTAGGAGTCCTACGTGCGGCGGCGATCCGTCCTTCGGTCTCGCAACGCGGCGAGGCTTCCCGTAGTAAGTACTGCGGACGCTGTGGCTCGACTGCAGGTTTAATTACACGTAAGTCGAAACCGCGTCTGTCTGTCAACATTTAACAGCAATCTCTCAAAGGGCTAGGAAAAAACCCGTTTCGCTGTGAACAAGCGCGTCCCAAGAAGCTGCTGTGTTACGTACATAGATTGAAAAACATGGAAGATTCTCGAGCTAGGAGTAAACCGTCAAGACACCCCCTGGTTCGTCCTCTCCCACCAGAGAACGTGCGATGGAAATAATAGGATTCTAGGACGGGACAATCTTTTCGGCCATGCCAGATGTGGCATTATGGTGTCAATCGTGATGATGGCATGACCGTAGCATGAGATAGAGAACAGCCGTGGCTTGTGCTGGAGACTGAACCCAGACATGGCGAGGCGACGAGAAGAACGACGAAACCAGGATGTGTACACAAGAACGACGAGTAGGTTGCTTGCTGCTGTGAGCAGGTTTTACATGAGACTACAGTGTCCACGACTACATGGTCCCAATGCTGCAGCGACCGAAGAGAAGAAGACAGCAACGACCACAACCCAGGTTAAATTAGTCCTTCAAAAGGACATGGAAGTACCGCTTTCCACCGCAATACAACGCATTATAATCAACTGTCTCCTACCGCATTAAACAAGGTACACAAGATGCCCAGCCCCTGCGCACGAATTTGCCCTGCCCACGATGGAAACTCTGCACCCGTGTATTAGGGTGCCAGCCAGTTGCACCCCATTTACAAGCACCTCGAGCAATACGAACCACAAAAACGGAAGTTTGACAGAAGAGACCAACGTCAAACGGTCAACAAAGAGTTACAAAAAGAAAACTAAAAAGCCCTTTTTGCTGAGTGCGAATTGACGAAAAATTACCGAAGTGCAAGAATCACATAAGAGCCCTCTTTACAGGGCAACCTTGGGTTAGTCAAACGGGCATCTTGTGGAGATGGAGTTCATTTTTTTCAACAAGTGGGGTGGGAGGGGGGGAGGAGTTGTTTGTTCTGGTTGTTCGTTTATTGGATTGGTAACGACAGAACGGAGCTGATGCCGCCGCCCTCCTACCCGCCAAGACCAATCAACACATTGCAATTTTCAATCGCACAAACCGCGTCGCGTCAGACAAACTGGCCCTACATTATCAGAACAGACGGAAAAGGGCTAGAAATTCCCTGAACATCAGTGCTTGGTCTGGAGTTTCAAGGGCTGTGATTCAGGGTAGCCCACAAAAACAATTCCTTCCATGAACCAACACCTGCTTCGTAACCAGACCATCGCAACCTGCTGTGCACCCACACGTTGATGCAGAACATTCAAGTACACATCAACAAGATTTCTACCTTCCAGTTCCTAGAGTGTCTCTCACCCGTAAGCCCCAGTGATGCAAGATTTGAATAGTATTCCCCTTTCTGAAGTTCATTAATGCAAAAACAGTGCCTGAACCGATGGTGCCGACAGCAAGTGGCAGCTTTTGGCGACACTAGTACAGTACAGTGTGTGAATCCCATTACAGTACAATAAGTCTTGTTTCGGGCGCGTCTTTTCCAAAATAGTTTCGCGTCGCGGCATCCCTCTGATCGAGCGTCTGCGAACGGCTGCCGCAAACGCCTGTTACAGTATCTGCTGTTACAAGTTTACTGGTCTCTACACTCCACCTCACCTCAGTTCCATGCCGAAGTGCTCGTCTGGAAACGGGTCATTCACAAACGCATTGCCAAGCAAATCTGGGGTTGCGAGAAAGCCATCCATTGCATGCGTAGATTATGCACACCTGTAAGGAAAATCATTTTTCCTTGCTTCGCATCCCTGCTCAACGCGTACATCACTATAGCACCACAGTCAGCACCGTTACCACTCGCGACCCTCGCATCGACAATCAGCCCGCCATTTTCGCACATCGCACCCCAACCTCACGGCTCGGCTGGTAACCCGCGCTCCGGGCCTCCGCTTCGACACTTTCCCAAACCTCAGTCCCAGGCTCGTCACGCGACAACCACAGTCCATTACCGTTACCACTGTAGTTTCGCTATATATTCTTCGCTCATGCCTTCGCTCATAGTATTCTTGCTTCGATAGTGCAATTCCCGTTCATTTCC